GTTACTGTCTTTGAATCCTACTGCAGCTACCGTACCTTTGAAGGTTCAGGTCTGAGTTCATAAATACATTCAGATTTCAAACCTGATTGTTGGTTTCCAGTTATATTAGCTGAAGCTGTGTGCTAACCTTTGAATGCTCTTCTCTTCGGTCCAATAGGTGTAACTTCAGTTTTCTTTTAATGCTTTAATGGTTGAATGCTGCATAAATAAATTATTTCATCAATGAGTTCCTACCTGTTTCTTTGCTAACCGGCTGCTAACTACTAAACAGATTTCCTGAATGGAGGCAGGTCTCATGAGACCCGAAGAAATAATAAGAAACATATTTATTCAGGAAATCTGTTCCACTGCCGGCTGCCAGCTAGGTGAACACAATGCAGCACTGTTGCTACCCAACTTCTAATCACGTGTGTTAAACTTTTTTTTTTGTAGAAAAGCTGCACATGAAAAACAAAAAGTACAATGTTTGCAAATCAGTTGCTCCAACGGTCAGAAACTCTAACATGACTTTCAACAGATAAAAAAGAAAAGGGTGTTTGAAAAAGCATCCCATTAAAGAGCTCAGGTATTCTTTAGCCAGAGGGCAGAAAGAGTAGCAGGGGATAGGAATCACTTCTGAAGTCGTTCCAAAATCAAGATAAACGTCCATCAGACAAGGTGAAGGCTAGGAAGGTAGGTATTACTGTGAATGTTAACACATAGTCCACTTTTAATATTAGATATTTATCAAACTTGACTAAAGAATATCAAACCTGTATTGTTAAGCTCTGCTGATTAGATGAAGACGCTATTTTAATTCAAAATATGTATAGCTTTATAGTAATTTACTCTTTATATGTTTATTTCTTGGTTTTATTAAATACCCACAGTTAATTAGAAAACCTTAGGGTTGCATGTTTGTTTACCTGAAATAAGATGGTTAGACCAAACTGGAATAGAATAGAATAGAATAGAATAGAATAGAATAGAATAGAATAGAATAGAATAGAATAGAATAGAATAGAATAGAATAGAAGAGAATAGAATAGAAAAACCCTATATTGTCTCACAGAGGGAAGATCGAAGTGTGTCAGTGGCAAATGAAAACAAACCGGTACAGACAAGACCAAATAATATTACCAGAATTAAGTTAAGCTGTACAAGTAAAGAAAAATCACACACCAGGAAATAAAGACACTCATCAGTAATTAAAAATGTAATAATCAGACTGAGACCAAATAAAGTAAATACTAGAAGCTTTGTGATACTATTTTCATTTTTTACAAGAACCCCAGACTAGAAAGCAATTGTTCTTAGCATTACTAGAGGTCCTGTTTTATTTTATATCAGTTTTTGTCAGGTGGTCATAGCTAAGGGTGTGAGCAGATCACTTTACACCTTGAACTGAAATGCATCTCCACCTTCTCTCATGTGACCACATGAGATCCGAGCTCATTTCCCCACTTAGTATGCAAATGCACAGATAAGCTAGTGTAAGACACAGAAATAGGACAGCTGTAGGTCTGCTAAGGTTTATGTAAAGTCCTGTATGTCCTTCAGTGACCTCTTCTCTATTATTAATTAAAAAGCCATGAGTGTTTAGGATCTGAGGGAAATAAGCTTTTTGATTAAGTATTCTATTATTTTAAGATAAATTGTCTGCATGGCTGGAAAGCAAACAAAGCAGAATCCAGGAAATAATATGAATGAAATGACATCAATAGCAAAGCATTTTGAAACGTATTTAGTTCCAGATTTTTATTTCAGTAAAAAAAAGAAAACTTGACATTTGCAATTGCTAACTTAGGTGCAGTGACATAAATATGGAGTAGTACACTTCTAACTTATAAATATATTTGTATGACTTAAAAAAAGTCAAACTACTGATATATAGAATCTAATCAAATAGAACTATTGTGAATAACTCTGCCTCAAAGGTATATAAACAAGCTTGATCACAAAAAATACCAAATATAAGAGAATAAAAACACGTACAAAAAAGAGCTATAAAGTATGAAGAAACATATTCAGTCTTAAAATGTTATGTCTTGGTTGTGCTTTATCTTAATTATACAATTATAACCTATATAAGGAGGATTAGCAAAGCATGTTAGAACCAGATTGTGCTATGGAAGAAAAGTCAGGAAGTGCCGGACCAGATAATGCAAACATTATGTATTAGAGGGATGAAAGTTATCCAGCTGACAGACATGAGATCATTTAAAGCCCTTTAACTCATTCCATTAACTGGTGCAGCGTAATCTTTGCAATTACTATAATAATACCTGTTACAAATGAGAGAAGAGTTTCAGTGAAAGAAAAATTAGAAATTTTAAACCCAAGTTTTACATATTTTATTTTGATGCAAGAGGAGCTGAATTAGAAGACATCTGGAATTATATAATTTAACAAAAAATAATGGTCCATTCTGTCATAAAACCTACAAGACCATTAAGCCAACCCTAATACAGTTCATGTCATCCACTTTATATGTTTCACAGGTTGTATTTAAAAATTATTCTGCAGCAAGCAATCTTCCTAAAGGTGTTCTCAATGAAAGCACATTTCTAATCACATAAATATCTCTAACCATATAAAGTCAGACTTTTCCTACTTCCAAGATGTCTTTTAATCTTACTTTCCAACTGTATAACTTCCTTTTCTCACTTCCATTTTCTCTCCTTGAAGGATTTGCGTGCCTGTGATTAATAATATGTGGAGCAACCCAGAAACTGTTTATTGACACTAACAGCATATTGTGATTTATTTTGTTCTGTGGCTGCATTAAAAATACATTTGAGCCATTTCTGAAAGCTTCCAGTGAGTGGCCACACATTTGTTTCCGATAATACATTTGAGTACCTCTCCATAAACCCCCCAGAAATCCAATCCAATCTCTGTGGTTCTCCACTCACCACCTCCCTGCTGCTTTTTCTTTCTGTCAGTCAATCTGTTGTCAGTTTTACTCCTGCTCATACAAGTCTGCCCCTCAGAGCAATGGGGAAAAGGAACATGTCCAAAGATAGTATAAAAATGTCTTCAATAAACAGATTTAAAGGGCAGATTTCTAAAATGTCATTTTTTAAGCCTTGCAGAAGTATTTTATAGCTTTTCTAGATTTTTTCACATTGTAACCACACAACTAAACATATTTAGTTTTAGTTTTAAAAGAAATATTAAAAATAGTTTCATATGATAAAATAATGAGGAAGACTTTTTTTGTTTTTTCTAAATAAAAATCTGAGGTTTTGCATGCATTCCATTTTAGCCCCATTTAATCTGATATAACTAAATAAGATAAGTGGCCATCCGAAGTCACTGGCTTTCTAAAAAATATAATGCACAAGTGAAATTGTTTTTAGAAATATTTCACTTGTGCACAATTTCATTTAATCATAAATACATTTTTTTTATGTTGAAAGCTTAAAAGGTTTACAAATATCATGAACACTAAGAAACAAATAGTTCAAAGATAGTTGTTGGAGAGTTTGGAGCAGGGTTAGGCTGTAACACCATTCGTTTAGGATGTGATTGAGATAAAACTGGTAAAACTAAATCCCATCCTTTAAACATCACCAACTACTCTTGGCTCCATTATTCAAAGAGTGACACACCCTCAAACTTACTAAGAACTGGCATTAGACCTTTACCAATAGGCCAAACAATGTCTGCATTTACTGCACTGTAAAGTAGACATAAAAACAACCTTTGCATGCCGTAGTTTAGCTTTTTTTATGTTTACTGCAAGGGCAGCAATTGTAAAGATGAGTGTTCCAGAATTCTGGACTTAATAGAAAAGTGGTTAAAAAAGACATGAACAGAAAGCAATTACAGGTCTCTTTTGCAGCTTGCCTAAAGGCATGCAGGGTCAAGAAGAAGTTGGTTTGATCAGATTAGGCCAGGATTTAACTTTTTTGTCTCTGTGCAAAATGCTAAGTGTAGAATGAAAACCTATCAATGAACACTAAACACCGTGCTCACCACAAACGCACATCAAAATGTTGTGGGTTGCTTATCTTTTGTAGAGGTTGGTAAGTTGGTCTCAGCACCAGGACAGTGACACCAAAAACACAACCATGGGTACAATGAAATACTTTAAATTTAGAGCATATTTGCATGTTAGAATGGCCAAATCAATCATCACCTATTACATCAAATGAACATAAAGTTGTGAATGTTTGTAGATGCAAAGTGAAAAAAAATGTGGGGATCTTTAAGAGTTTGGAATTCTTTGTATGGGATCTCAATATTTAACAAAACTAAAGTTAAGATCTAGATTTACCATCAGGGAATTTTACAATTATTCATCAAACATTTCATATTTTTCTTCCCAGGAAAAGCTAAGTGTGTCTTTATGATAGTTTTCAGAAAACAGCTGTAGTTATAGAGTGCAGTTGCAGCTATAAGTCAAGTGAGAGCGCGTGTAAGACAGAATCCCAATAGATTCTGCAGCATTATAGTCCCATCTTTTCATATAGCTGCAACGAGATGAAAATGTGTTTAAAACCAAATAAGAAAAGTAATAAAGACCTCCGACAGCTGCTCCGACAATAAATACACTGCGCGTACCGCAGAAATGATACAGATATTGAAAGCCCAAGTGAGCGCGCGCGCGATTTGTATGTGTGTTCTTGTGCGCGTGTGAAGGAGAGAAAGAATGCGCGAGGGGAGCCTTCCAATAGACTGTGCAACACCTGAAAACACTGCAATCATTTGTCTTATCTATAAAATAACCACAGTGATAACAAAACTGATTCCACAACAGACTAAATATAATTCAATCTTCTTTTTGCGCAAGTCTTTCATCCTCTCTATTTCTATTACCTAAAACGATCAGGGTGATGTTCAATTGGATTCTTTCGTAGATTAAATTGCTTCAAAGTGCAAACATGTATGGCTACAATAGCATCCATGCAAATTAGATTAGATTTATCACACTCACTTTTTAAGCGTTGGATAAAAAAAGCATAAAATAGCCTATAACTCCTGTGAAATATGAAATTTTTTCGAGAAATCCATACCTGTTGGTGCGGTGTGATCCTGTTCTCTTAGCCCAGCAGGTGAACCTCTTTCCTCATAGCCAAACCCCAATCCAAGAAGAGGCTCGCATGCCCTCTGCACCTAACACCGTGAAGAGGCTCCTTTCTGGCACAGAATAGGAAAGTTACACCCTACCATCCGTGCGTCCACAAATGCGTATTAGGTTAAAAGACAGTGAGATCTTTCCCCTCCAGCTTTTAAACCAAGCCTGCTGTCCCTTTTGAGTGATCCGCTGCAGAAGAAGGATCCCTGAAAGTTCCGTTCCTCCTCTTTACGCAGAAAGTTCCTAAGCCATACCGATATGAAGGAAACGCCCGAACTGGGCTTTTGTTGTACGCAGGAAATCGTCTTTTTGTTTTTCTATTAGAAAGTGAGAGGAGAGCAGCCGGTGACGGGACAGAGGTGCGATTGAGTCGGGGCGTCACGCAGACTACCGGTGCGCCCTGGCTGGTCCAGCCTGGAGGATGTGGAGCGTTTGTCTTAAATTGTGGTAGTGGTGCACCGCCCCCTAGCGGTATGATGTGTAAACAAATGCTATTAGAAGCAAGGCGTATGCAAACCTAAATGATCCTGTAATGTAATGTGACGACGGCCAGATGGGATGCGCATGGACATGTGGGATACATGATATTTTCAATCTCCTGTCAGTGTAGCCAGTTAGTCAGACAAGCAAACAGACACACTCAAACTCAACACATAGGCGGTTCTTGCTAAAATCGCACCCTGGTCTTGTCCATCATTTTGCCACCAACTCAAAAAGGAGATGTTTTACTACATGCATCCTTTACAGCCTAATACGCATTATTTTATCTTTTTTTTATGATACAATAAGGCTTTTGCAAATATGCAGCCATTGAATGTGTCAAAAAGTACAATACTGTTTTTTTGCCTTTTGCAAATTCATTCAGATCATCAAATAATATTCAAATAATACATTTACTAGAGGGTGCTCCTGTCAGGAAGACCTTAAAGATGAGTGTGTTGCCTTAGGTACAGTAAATGCCATATCATCCTTACTTACTCACAGCTAAATGCTCTGCATTCCAGCTTTAGGCGAAACTTGGGATCTCCAGTGGGTAAGTAAGCAAGTGAATCTCCAACCTCGGAGAAAGCCGGATCTGACAACTGGACAATCACAGGGTTTTTTTAAGGTTGACCTTAGATTCATCAGGAATAGCAAGTTTTGATCAAAACATTTTTTTTTTACAAGGCACATTTGTAAAATTGTGTCAGAATAATATTAAAAAAAAGTGATAGAAAGTGATAAAAAGAAAAAAAAAGTGTTTTTTAGTATGTTGAAAATACAGCCTAAAACAAAGTTTGTAAGAGGTGCAACAACCTCTGGAACAACTTTACTGGCCATCCAAATTTTGGATTGCCAGACTTTGTTCACTGGAACGCTGTTTACTTAGTTGTTACATCAATGCCAGCTCAGAGTTCTAAATTCTGATCCGAAATGCACCGTTAGGCCTCCTACCTTTTGTTGCTAGTATGTTGCCTAGCATGCATTCTTCTTCTCTTTGCAACATGCCTTGTTCCCAGTCTGCAGTTCCACACTGGATCGCAGCTCGTTGTCCCCTTTTTGTCAGAGTTAATTGGAAATCTAGCTTCTTAATTCCCTCTGTTAATCTCTTCACCACTCCTCTGGCTGTCCTCATCGATTCAGTGTCTGGAATCCTCCATAACTCCACCAGCACCCCTCATCCGCTCATCTACCCTCCAATGCTCCACCATGATGTCCATCTTCCCCCACAACAAACAGATAAACACTGCTCAATCTGCTAACCTCAGCCCATGTTGATATGCCTACCTCTCTCCTGGAGTTTCCTAATTTCCAAAATAATAAGAATCGGTATCTTCATCATCTTCACCATCAGTTATCAGGTATTCCTTACAATAAACTCTTATCTCTCTTCTTCAAAGCCATTTTGGACCCCTTCCCTGAACCCAGAAGAAACATTCTCTTTCTTGTAAGAAATAATAAACCATTTAAATTGTTTTCTGTTGTCCCAAGTCACTGTGTGGACAAAGGTCTCCAAAGAGACATACCTTAATTTTGTTATCATTCAAAATTAGGCAACCCCTTAATAAGTAAAATGTTATCAATTTCATTAGTTTAATTCAAGACTCCAACAAAATCACTAAAATCACCCTGAAATTCATTGACCTTATAACAACGTCAAAGTCATCACCACCAGTAATATTTTTTCAGAGGGCTTAGATGATGTTAGAAGCAAGTTAAGAATAATTTTAGGAAAATGTAATGAAATTATCTGGTAAGATCTATAAAAGCACATTGTAAATTTCACCAAAATGCCAAGTAGCTTCTAGGGATGAATCTGGTATCAATAAAAGCACAAAGTAAATTGCAGGAAAACATTAGATAAATCCCAGAAATCTATTTGGTAAGCCTGTCCTACAAATTAAATGGAAGATTCCTGAACACACATTATCATTCCCAACTATGAGAATCTTGGTGAAAGCACCCTGGGCATCATATAATGACGTGAATGGGGTGCCCCTCAACTCATATATTGACACCCTGGATAAATGGCAAGTTAGAGACATATAATCGTGAGACAAACATGACCCAGGACAGATTTTTAAAAACATTTTACCCTACAAAGTTATGGTTGGTAGTTTTAGGAGTAGATGGTTACATACTGTACATGCTACTATTTCTTTAGGTTTATGGGCTAGGGTAAGGGTCACTGCTACCTTTTCACTTTGCAGTTCATGGATTATTTTTGCAAGTTCCTGACACAACCTGTCAACAGTGTCAAAAAATGGCATTGCTTCAGATACTGACGCAACAGGGGTTTGACCAAGCGTCAACAGTTGGGAGTGAGGCTGTTTTGTCCAGAAAAGTATTTATTGCAGGTTCCTTGAGAGATCAAGGAAAGTACCTTGTAGTTTCGCTAGATTATCTGTAGATTAATCATCATGATACAACAGCAATTCCTTCTCACATTCTTCGAGGGTATGGGATTCATCATGTAGTTCAATCGTATGCAATCTTTTTGGGGTTCATCTTTTTTTTGCCTGGTAGCTGCAGACTGTACTACCCTTAACAGAAACTCTATTTCTTTAATTAACAACCACCACTGGTTATTCGATGGGGAAATCATGGAATCTTTGTCCCATTAAGGTGTGTAAGATGTGGGTAAGTAAGCGAGTGAGTTGCTCTAAGCTGTGAGAAATTCAAATTAAACAGAACTCACTCTAACTCAGTTATAGGCACTTCCCAGAAGACTAAAGCATCAGAAGAAGAGTGAGTGATTGACACCATGGGAAGTGAAGTGACCCATCTCACCGGGTCCTTGTTTGTGTGTGAATGTGAGTGTGTGTTTCTGGGTGTCTGTATATATGGCTGTGTGAAATGACCTGAGCTGCCCAAAGAAGTTTACTCACAACAAATTACTTTCTCCAGACTCTGGTCACTGCAGTTCATTTGAGGAAGTGGAGCCCAACCAGACTGTAAGGTTTAAGTGTGTGTGTGTGTGTGCAGGAGAGACAGACAGACAAGAGCCGATAAGAAATCACACAGCAGAGAGAGTCCTGTTTGTAAAAGTGCTACACAAAGCACAGTGGAAGTTCTGTATGTGACTGTGTGTTTGAGATGTAATCGAGTTGATGATGTATGGTTACCCACACGTATGACAGAGTAATTGATCCATAGACAGGGGGTCTGATTGTGCACGTGTGCCAGTCGTACATCATATCAGCCAGTGAGCTAATCTGTTACTTTGAACAGGGGTTTATATTCATGATCTTGCCTCTGCTTTCTGCCCTATTTCCTGAACCTTGAACACCTTCCTCACTACTTTTTCTGAGACGTCTCTCTGCTCTCTGTTACCAGTAAATGATCTTCTCAAGATACAGAAAAAAAGAGAGAGAAAAATACTGGTATCCTTCTCACTGTTTCTTGGCTGTGTTGCTTCTTGCTAAAGTAACACTGCTGTATCTCGGATAACCTGGATAACCCAACCAAGGGATTAATCTTCTGTTCTGTGTCCCTGGCAGCTGAGTTAAAAGTCAGCATGTGGACTGGGAGATAAAAAACCAGGGAGTCACATGCATGCAAGATACCAAGCTGCATGGAAACCCTTAAAAAATCATGCTAATTCACTAGGGAATCGTGGCATTTACCCACAATCAACCTTTCCCTCACATGTACTCACACATTCACACATGTACACTACAGTTGATGGCCTCCAAGTGACTCGTAGGGGATTTAATCTGTGCCAATCAAAGACCTTGGTGCATTTCTGTTACAGAATAGATAGTCAATTCTCTTAGAGAGAGGCTTTGCTGATCACACAGCAGCCTCAGAGCAACATTTTGTGTGCATGCACAAAGTGGCACATGCCAACTTTCCCACACACACACATAGAGCCATGTGAACATAATAATAGAGCAGCTCAGAATACTCCAATCGAATTCATTCGTCATACATTTCCTTCAGTCAGCTCACTAAGTCAGCTGAAATGGAGACAAATGCTGCAGGACCAGGAGATAATCCTCACAGACATGCGGATTTTACCACATGGCTCTGTGCTAATACTTATAATCATCCAAGCAATTAATTATAATGGACAGTACATTGTTGGGCAGATGGAGAAAAGTTTCTCTTCAATAATATTTTCCATAATAAAAGACTGATTTTCTGTTCTTGTAGCATGTCTTCTCCTTCTCTCTGATCCCATTTCCTGTATGTTTACTTCAAAATCAATAAAATATTATCCAATAGAGCTAACAAAAAAGATAAATAAATAAAATTCATACTCATAAACAAAACCAGCCCTCCTCAGCTTTTCCAAGAAATGGTATATGAACCTGTCAGACCAATGTCCTTCCCATTGATTTGACCAGTTTGATTTTAAATGGCAAGTAGCAAAAGTTTGCTTAAATGCTCTTGGCCCATTGTGTTGCATGTGTATGACTTGACTCTTTTTAAGCAAGAGCTGCTGCATTCTACACCAGCCGATGTAGCTACGATTGTAGCAACCTTTGAAAAATACCAAAAAATCTGAGTTTTCGCACTAACCTTACACGTCGCTATTTGTATATAGAACCTGAAGTTCGATTTTAGAATTCTTGAATCAAATAACTGACCATATATGGACATTTATCTGGATACACTTGTTTAATTTCATTATCTTCCCTGGAATGACCAGAAATTGCAGACTTCCAAAGTAAAAAAACAAAAAAAAAACACCATGAAATCTGTTTTGTCAGATAGTCAGCGATGGCCATGTACAGAATTCTGTAGCGATCCTGAGGGTCATGCAATCTTGACTGGTGACGCTTTCTCAAGGGCTCATCTTGAGTGTCTGTTGTGAGATTTGCTGCTTTTAAATAAAAACCTGAAAAGCCCATTCTGGACAATGTAAATAAAAACATCACTTTCACTGAAGATTTAGATATGTGTAAAAAAGGAAAA